CACACAAAAAAGAAATGAAACGAATTTTTGACCTTAAAGTTGAAATTTCAAATTAACGAGGCCTATTTGTAGCATGAATTTCACATCCTGAGGATAAGGTCAAACAAATAATGATGATAATTTAACACAAATATACAAGGTTACACAAGATATATACATTTGAATACCCAAGAATGACATGAGCATTTTTATTCTTTAAAAATGTAACAAACAAAAAGTGAAAATTTCATTGTATTCAATATATTCTGATTGGTTTGAGTTAATCAAAGGGTTTGATTATTTGTTTGAAAAGAAGCATTAAGTTGCAAAGTGATTCGGTAACATGATTATTTCTTGCAGGTAGCTTAGTGCTAAGTCAATATCTTCTACATGATAGATTTTTACCAGCTGAGGAACTTATAATGGCAAGCAAAAATATGAAATCATTCAAGTGAATTCTAAATATTTTCATAATTTAGAGGGTCCTTAAAGTGTTCTCCAGTGTTTTGACATCCAATTTATCGTGTCAGAGATTAATTCACTTCACCAGTGAAATAAGCACAAACTGGGAACACAGAGTGACTTTGTATTTTTCTCAGGGAACCGATAAAATTTATGAACTAAATACGTTATAAGTAGTGCACAAGTAAATCAGTATGATTAGAGTTCAAATCAGCCATCTATCCGATGATAATGTGCTTGCAAAATAAATTTCTTGGAGTGGCGTAGAAAAGCTATAACCGTTAGCGTTAACCGGATGGAAATTGAAATTGTAACCTAAAAAGAACATTGCATCACCTTCAACTATACCTAAGATAAGTTGGGTTTCAAAATACGATTCAATTTATTTCTCAAAAGTGGTTTACAGGTATCTTGTTCAATTCAAGATCCGAACATTCTACTATCCATAGTGTGTTCAGTCGTGGTTGTGCAATTCTGATGAGTCATTGATCACGACAATTAACATTTCTGCATGACATCGGTTCATTATAAAAATTATGACAAAACTGTACAAAACTACTGACAGATTCACTTTGATAGAACTAAATAAAATAAATCAATGGAATTGATATGAAAACAAGAAGACCATTTAGTCCAAACAGGACATACAGCCAACATGGAGCAATCTTTTGCAATAGTCTATCGTGTCAACAGCAGTCTACCTAATTCCGTCAGAATGCGAATCCTACAGACGGCTGAAGCAATTGCTATTCGGATCAAAAAGCCAGAGCTTTGTATCCAAAAGAAGTATGTTCATCCACTCCTTTTACCCTGGCCAACTAGCTAATAATCAATTTTATAATGTGGTGACGTAATCTGATTAATGTTCATTTTATGTCCCAAACTTATTATTATTATTATTAATATTATTGTCTTTACACTTGATAACCCCTTTTTGAGGAATTTATTCAATATTCACCCCTGAATCTACTATATTTTACCTAATTATTTTACATATTACGCAATTTCCGATTTGTAATCACAATATTCTCTCTCCCTCTCTCTCTCTTACCCCATGTTGACCATATTTATTCTGATAATTTATCTCACAATTTCATTTCGCTTATAAACTGATTCAAGTTAACACTTCATATTAGTCAGCCCCAACATTAACGATTTTATTTATATAACAAACAATTCCTGATTCACATATTACAATTTTTGCATATCTTATATGGTGGTAATTAATTTGATAAGAATCTTAATTTAAGTTCTTCTCACATGCATAAATGTATGAAAGTGTGAAAGTGTATATTTATACACAAACTATGGTTTAAGGCCAATTATAATAAAATATTTATTACTGAAGATTCAAACAACGTTTACTAATGTATCTTTATATCGTCAGAATACATAAGTAGGATAAAAATAATAACAATGGTAATAACTTATTATGGTTATGATAATAATAATAATTATTATTCAAATAACAATAAAGAATAAAACAATTTAGTTTCTTCGTTGCGTCTTCGTTTCCTATCAAATTTCTCCTTGAGGAAAAAACTAAAATCGTGCATACATAGACATTTAGAAAGCAATCTATTAATTGTAAGCTATTGTACGTTATAGATAATCACTTTTGTATTCGATCACTTCAAATAAACGACATGCCCACCATTTCTCCACCTTTATATATCTATGCATAGAAAGTTCTTGAAGTCTTTTGAATATAATTGAGGTCACGGACCGACTTAATCCAGACAGTCATTCCAAATCAGGAGGCACGTGACAGATGTTTCGTCCTAGTAAACGCCTCATGTGAGACTATAATTTGTAGGTGAATTTTGAAAGATGCTTGAGTGACCTTAAGGATGTCCGCCAATCTACTAAGGTCAAATGAATGACATAAATAAACGTAAGGAATCGGAGATAGGATTTACAGTAGGACGCCAAAGTTAGGAATAATAGTCAGGTTTTCTATCACCAACTGGCACAAGCTATCATGCCAAAATGCTATGTAACTAATTGGGTGAGTGAATTTCACGCAAAAATTCGGGACCCGCCGTCTCAAATTTAATTGGTTCATCCATAAGTTATAGTCAGGTAACGGCTCCTTAACCCTTCAAAACGACAACCCTACCAGCTATTTAATGCTTTCTGTTTTTTGGTACTTGTTGATCTGAGTGAATTTCGTGATCTCAATAACGTTCAGCAAGCTATACAAGCCACTTGTACTGGTAATTATTACGTGCTCACTAGTGACTGACTTCTAGATGTACTTCTAAAATTTATACTGAGACGTTGTAGCCAGTGGAGGACAACTGTGTTATATGTGAAGCAGTAACCCAAAATTGAAAATGACTGCGTTATATTGTGAATTTCCAAACCAATTATTTGCTGATTTTAAAGTTTGATGAATGTTTAATTTGTGAATTTATGACTGTGGAGCAAGAGAAAAATATTCCCCCTATACATTTCCATTTTTAAATTAACTAGAACAGATCAATAATGATAATAATCCTATTTATAACAATAATTTATTTCATAATCTGTTTTGACAAAACTAAAGACCTGGAAGCAGTGGACGGCCGTTCCGTCCTAGTATGGGACTCCTGGAGTTCTAGTGAGAAGCCGTTACCATTAGAGTTCAACCAGGTCTGTTGTGAGATATCAACTCACTGATGACATTGGTGTACGGTGGCGCAACTTCGTGGATTGGTTGAAGTTGGACATTAACACCGTTGGATACCGGCTCAGTGGTTTAGTTGGTTAAGCGCTTGGCGCGAGACTGATAGGTCCTAGGTTCGAATCTCGCGGGGTGCGGGATCGTGGATGCGCACTGCTGAGGAGTCCCATACTAGGACGAAACGGCCGTTCAGTGCTTCCAGGTTTTCCACGGTGGCCTAGCTTCAATTGACTCATGATTTCAATCAGTGAAATTTCTAAAATCTCCGCAAAATCCCTTCTAATTAAACTAAATACATATAATTTTTCTCAGTCAGCTTTTTATTTTAAACTATATTGTAGTGTATGCTACATATGTTGACAGATATTAGTAGTATGTAGCATCGATCAGAAGTGGAATGCGTGCCAGCAGAAAAATCAGAAGATTCAATTGCATAGAACAGGAATATAAACAAGGAGAGCAATTGTAATAACATCAGAATTGAAAAAAAAATCATAAAATGTGTAAAAGGACAACTGAAGGAAGATATGCAAATATTGTATTTCATGTCTGGTTTTCATATTTTACGAATGAACTCTATAATTTTGCATTAAACAATAAATTAGTTTTCCTCACTTGACTTCGTTGTTCACAACAATATGTCAGAAGAATTTTACGAGTTATGAATAACATCTGTTTATAAAACATTCATCAGTTTATGTGTTGTAACATAACTTCGATTCGTTTATAGACAAAAATAAATTGAAACTAATTCATTTTCATGATATCAGCTAAAATGACTATATGACTTATGAATAAAATAATTTTTGATTATACATGTAAATAAAGTAATAGAAATAGTGAAATGTTTTTAATCATAGGTTCTCTATAATGTAATGTCCACATAAGATTGAAAATAATATTTCATTATTTCAGTTGTACCATAGTTTATACTGTTATATCCCAACAAAAATGATGAAAGGTAATTGTTGGGATTTGTTTATGGACTAATGTTATACGTATATTTTAATTGTATGACTATTAAGTGACTGTATTATCTGTATATTTATGTTAGTTTCATTATAAGCTTTTATTTGACTTATTGACTCTTACCATACGATTTAGTATTCTTGAGATATTCCGAATTTATTAGTAATAGTTCCTCACTGTCACAGACTCTTTCTGGCTTGATCTTGCACAAATGTTACTTTCCACTTTGTGTTGTGATGTAGTCTGATTTTTTTCTATATGAACCAAGTATGTTTTAAATAAATGATTGGTATCGCGGAGCCTGGGAATAGTGTTCTGGACTTGACAGGTAGGGCTAGGAGGAAAAAGGACTGTTCAAGACTCTAGGCTGCTTGTACTAGTATATGAGTCATTAGTTTATTTGTATAAGTCCGCATATCGAAATTAGCTATCGTACTTCGTGATAATTGTATAAGTTAAGGACATAAAGTATACAACTCAATCTTAAAGTCATCAGTGTGTTGAATTTTCACTTCTGGTTGAAGTGAATATAAATTTCTGTAATTCTAACTAAAACTTCAGGATACCCATAATGATAATAAACTATTCATACTAGAAATAATCATATTTTACTATCAAATGTTAGCTTGTGACGAAAATCCCTCTTTAAAGCATATTTAATTAACAATTTAACAAAGAATCGTACTTAAAAAAATAAGTTTCGTTTCTGTTGCTTACAGTTATTTCGATGACTTATTCATCTGATTATCATTAGTATTCAACTGGTATGTAATTAACATTCACTATCAATAATTCATAGCAAATTAAAATGGTGTTTACTACCTCCGTATTATTATAATTCAACATATATGGAAACAAATAATATATATGTTCCTCAAAAGTAAACATGTTATATGCAATCTACTAATAATCAAATTCTATTTACCTTCAGATGTACCACTGAAAGCGACATGGCCACTTCCTTTAATTGAATGTTTATTACCATTAGATTGATCATTAGGATTTTTATTTATTTCATGTTGTTGTTTATCATCTGTATCATAGTTTGGATTTGTATTCCTTGAAATTTGTGTCATCTCATTAGCATTAGCTAAATTAATTGGAGGCGGTGGTGCGGCAGTTGAACCGTCTCCTTCAGTTGCACCTAACAATGTAAATATAATACCAGCTTGTGAATTCACTCCAACAGCTGTAACAACCATTTTACCAGAACCTTCCATAACATGTGTACCTAGAAAAAAAGAAGAGAAATGTAACATTAAAATATTAGTTGCTGAAAGTTTATTTGTTTTGAATTTATTTATGGTTAAAAGAGATTGATTTTAAAAACTTAAGGAAATATAAAAATTTGAAATACTGGTAAAAATTAATTGTGAATAATTTTGTTTACTAGGATTAAAAGCCAACATTATGTATAGAAATAGACCAACTTATATAGAGATTAAAGTGCAGAAACATAGCAATATAATAGATGAATTAAATTCTTTAAAAAAAAACTTTTTTTAATATCTACTCCGTACATTTTTATGATCATCTATAACGGCTGGTTTTTTCAATTCAGTTATTTCCTCTTTTTTATACACCACGTATATTTGACTATGTTAAATAATAAATATGGAAACGCTTCGTAGTATTATTTGAAGACAAATAGCTATAAGGACGACAAGAAAAAGTATACTGTTGATACGTTTGATCAGATCACTGACAATTATACTGGAGTACATGTTTTACATATAAATATGAATTTTCAACTCCCTTAAAGTCAGTTACTCTTGTTGATATTTAGATAAGTGTTTGACATGTATTGTCAGAAGGCAAGCTACGCAAAACAGCTAGTTCAAATGACCTGTAGTGATAATTTCATTCAATTTCTCTAAACCAGCTAAATTGATCATTCTATGTTCTTAGCATTACTCAAGATAAATGTTCGAGAACACTTCTCCTGTTATTGGTGAGAAGAAAAAATGAAAAGATCTAAAATTTGACACCCTATATAGATTGGTCATTTAATCATAATAAATTCCTAATTCAGTATAATCTGCAAAGCTAATGGAAAGTTACCATAGGCGTATTATCTTTTCGCCTGTATTATGCTAAAGACTTTATCATAAACAGAAGTTTTTTCTTATACAGACAAACGAAATTTATCTTGTTTTTTTCGCTTAGAATAGCAATAATCTATCGTCATACAAATTATCACTCTATAATATTCTTGAAGTCATAAAACACAAATGGAATTATTTTAGCTTTTCTATCGTCTTTAATTACTATTTTAGGTTGTCTTAAAATAATCTTTTTATTAATGACTTGTATTTCGAGCTTTATAACAAGAAAAACATTTTTTTTAAAAATGATTCTTACTTTGCTATATTACTACATACATTATCATTACTACTAATATTATTATAACCAGAAAACATTACAAGATTTGTTTTTGCAAAATGAAATGTTTATTTCAATAGTTGAATTCATGAATCGATATAAGTTAGATCACCACTGAAAACTCAGGAGCACTGGACAGGGAATCCATCTTCAAACCAGTCACTAATTAGTACATGATGATCATTAATAGAATAGGATTTGCGGAGATGAAATGCTTCTATTAACTATTGCACGATCAGTAAGATGAAGTCAGAAAGAGGTGATTTCTTCAATGGATTACTTACTCTCCATTTTTGCTTCAATTTAACAAACTTTGCTTATAGAAAATATCGCATGAAAAAAACACCCAGACATAACTTGTTAGACTGAAAACTCTTTTATCAAATGAATATTAAAGTTTACTGTTGGAGCATTACATATAAAATACCATGCTGCAAAGATGAAGATAAGACTAATTTGTACAAGTGTAGGATTATAAATATTACTCCAGTTATCCTTGGAATAAAGGAAAATATTGTACACGACAAAACGCAGAAAAACTTATCAATAATTCACAACATGGCTTTATTCACATCATTCGTCACTTTGACCTCGTTTACTTAGTTATTACAGAACATAATGTCAGACATTTAGTTTAAGTGCAGTACCTTAGCATATCTAAGGCGTTTTAAAATGTTAACCACTAGCTTCTAATAAGTAAACATATGTTTTATAGGATATAAGAAACATTGCTTGCATGGTTTGGTTTTTTTAAGTTGCATACACGAAGCAATTTAAATAAACTCCTCTCTATCAAACGCTCTTCTGATAGCAATTTGTATGGTGAAAAATAATACCACTGGTCATTTGACCGTTATAGCTCATATAAACTGTGTGTGTAACTGTTAAAGCATGGCCAAGCATTTCCTGAATGCGGATGATTATTAGGCGATGTATTCGTTCTCTCCTCACGTGCTAGGTCATACACAAGCCGAATCACAATGGAAATTAATGCTGCTCACTGATTCTGAAAATGGAATTTAGAAATTACATTACTCAAGGTGGGTTAACTTTCTTCGCGCCAATTTAATATTCTCCCAAATAATAAAGAAATTATATCTTACATCCACCAATCCTATCCACTATGCAGAAACACAAAATTATAGCCCTTTATAAAAAGTGATATTGTTTCATTCGAAATCTACTTCCTATATATGAAATAATTTGTAAGCAAACTTTTGTTAGTCTGTAAAATTTACAACAATCCGTACATGGAAAAGATTCAACAACACTGTTTGCATGCTGCAACGATGATTACCTCTCCTCTGATACTGCTTACACCAGAAACGTCACGCATCTCATCCACTAATGAAAGTGATTATTCGTGTTGTCCTCCATGTTTGATCTCAAACTTTATTATCATTGTATCATTCAATATAACACTAAAAAGATGTCTATATCATCCGGTCACAAAGCACCCAAACACACACATGATGAACAATCTATCATAGTAATTCTTGCTACCGTTTCTTTTAGCTAGTTTTATATTATTATCATTATTATTATTATTATCAAAACAAAAACAAAATAGGGATTTATGACGCAAAGTTAATTTATATTGATCGATACGTAATTATTAATCAATATCGTAACGTCTAGTCATTGAATTCAGTCAATCAATAGATCATAATGTTCAATTTACTTTTAAAACTAATGTATTGATCATGTTTCTATTAGATTATAGTATATTAGAAACTTATATAAGATCAATAATATCAATTACTGACTAAGCCAAGCAAATAAATAATCCCTAAGCAATATAAATAACGTTTTACTAAACCTGTGCATATATATATATATATATATATATATATATATATTGAATCGACTTTGATCGTTCTGACTGTACAATCGGTAACGACAGTCATTTTATGTATAAAATCTATCTACTCCTTTATATAATTTTTAAAACTATCTAACAATAATATCTGTATGGAATTTCAAAATCTGATGTCTTTCAAAATAAAATAGTTTAACTATATTCTTATGCTTGTAATGAAAATTAGCTTATTTATAGGGTAAATGTTATAATGCAATATTACGAATCATTTTTAAAAAAAAAAATGAAAATACAATATTTTCATTGTAACATGAATAATTGTTTAAATAGTAAATAGTATATTCATAATTAGGTTATTTCGAAGCACAACACTAACTGAAAACTGTTTGTTTTTTCTTAAAAAAGTTTGATGAAGTTTCCTGAAATGCATAACACATAAACAAATGTCTATTAAGTGATCTAATTATGAAACATCTATACACAACATAGAAATGACGTGTAAACTGAAAATAAATATTTATGGGATGACATTTACTAACAAGAAATTATGTGTGTAAACAATTTCAAAAGCTTGTCAAAGAAATATCAAACATAATCAATAATAATTTGTTATGATACCACCCCTTGTACATTCATAATAGGAAAATCAAATAAGTTATCCTAGTGGTAACAGACTATTTTCGTTAGATCTTAGGTAGCTTGCGAAAATCATTAGGTAGATCCGAATTAAAATTTTGAAATTATTAGCTTTTGACATTATGGTACAACCCTAAATCTTCTAGAACTGATGTGCCTCTTAAGACGTGAACATTCATTATGAACAGAAGTTCAATCGCTGATCAAACAGATCAGTAGTAGCATCTCTGCTTGCGAAACTAGATATAATGGGTATATATTCCACTTGAAGCATCAACATTGGAGGTATGCCTTCCTAAGTAGCATAACACTTGAGTAAAGGAATCCAGACCGAGCGGATTAAGCCACATAACATAAAACAATATTTTACTCAACGCCGAATCACTTACACGTGTACTTGAAGTCAACATAGTAGATGGAATGAGATCAGAAATAACTACAAAATAGCACTCAGTAATTCATCAAAATTTCAATATAACCATCTCTATTTAAGTATATAAAAAATACTAGTGATACACACGAATTTTTTAAAATCTCATTTTATTCTTCTTTAGCTTGTTCGTATCACAATAATCTTTTATCCATACGAAATGATGCCACATGAAAAAGTATTCCCAGTTAAAGGATACTGAGCACCTGCTTCATCCTGGCTTTCCTACTTTCTTAAGAGTGATTCTCATTCAGTAAAATATATAGTCTTCATAAACCACTTAACACAATGTATATTTTCGAATATTAAAAAAATATATTTGTGATTTATTTGTTTATTTCTTTCTAACTAGTTTACCCTTGTCAAAAACAATGACATGGAATTCATATGATTTAAACGGAAAAAGTAAAATAATAAACGATGTAAAATTAACAATAAATTAGGTAAATAAAAATATGGTAGATTAGTTGTTGATTAAAAACTAGGAAGAATTAGGAATCGGCATGTGTTTTCACTAAAAAAAGATTATTTGGAATGACTTGTTTGTATGAATAGTTTTTCATTTATTATAATATTAGTATTTTTTTTAATACTCAAAGTAAATCAAGTTAAATTAACATTGCCATAAATAGGGTCGAAGCAATGAGAAGCCAAACACGTAGCTACTTCTTTTATCTTTATTTCCCTGGAATAATGATTAAAAATGAACTAAGTGTTAGGTAGTAAGATGATCAAACCTCGCAATGTACCATTGAAATATAAGTTTATAAGGTTTAAGTTTTGTGGGATTGACTACAATTGGTTTATGAACGAATTCAATGTAATTATAATGTATTTTATCTAGTATTTTTATTGTATACAATGTGCACTTGAAAATATTTTACATATCAGTAAGTATCCTTTTAAAATGTTTCGGCGAGACCATAATTTATGGACGAACCAATCAGGTATAAGATAACGAGTC